CAAAATTAAATAAATCCCGTAAAACTTTTAAAGGCATTTTTATATTTACAAAATAATGTTAAAAATAGATTTGGTCAAGATCGTGGGAGGTTACAATTTTTATTTAATTAATAACTAGAATCTTAATTTGTATAAGTACTTTTTTGTATTTTAAATTTGATTCAAAATTTTTAGTTATCGACTTAAACTTAAATTTTGACCCCCTTATATTTTATTCTGGCGGCGCCTTAGATGACCTATGACCTGCCCCAATAGTTACATGTACGAGGTGTTTTCAGAAAATATCGGGAATTTTCGTTTTTTGAAACAAATATTTATTTATTCGTCTACATTAATGTTGACGCCTTCAAAATAGTCCCCATTGGATATTATGCACATGTGCCAGCTCTTCTTCCAATACTCGAAACACTTCTAAAACTCAATCTTTGAGATAGCCTGTAGTTCAGCGATGCGCTTTTAATGTTATCTATGCTTGCAAAACGATGGCCCTTTAAGGTTCTCTTTAATTTTGGGAATAGGAAAAAGTCAGACAAAGGCATGTCTGGCGAATATGGAGGCTGGGGCATCATTACAGTATTGTTTTTGGCCAAAAATTTTGTTCAAAATTTAACAATTTTGGAACAAATTTTGCTGCCACGCGTTTCATACCCAAAACATTTGAAAAAATTCCATGGGATGAGCCAATAGATATACCAACATCATCAGCGACTTCTCTGATGGTTTATAACCATTTCTTCCACTTTTTCCATGTTTTTATCGGTTGTTAATGTGCTTGTGCGATCGGGGCGTTCGTCATCTTCAACGTCTTCACGGTCATCTTGGAAACTCTTATACCACTTGTAAACTCTTACAAGAGTTTACAAGTGGTATAAGAGTTTCCAAGATGGCCGTGAAGACGTTGAAGATGACGAACAAGTTTTACTTATAGCAGACTCACTATAGGCCTTTGTTAAAATTTCACAGAATTTATTTCATTTTTTTAAGCAAAATTGGACACAAATTCTCTTTGATCCATTTCTTTTAACGAACGAGAATCGCCGAGCTCATAAAACACGTCTAATCTAAGCGGCTGCCAGAGACAAAGTAAACAATGAAAACAGCTAAAGTTTTTATCATACTTCGGGGGCATGTATACCAACATAATAAATAAAATGTTATGACAACCGGACCCTCCGAAGCCGCGAAATTTAACAATTCCCGTTATTTTCTGAACACACCACGTATCTCACTTCTTTTGGTAAAATGTTAGCTGTGAATTTAATACCAATAGTTTTGGTATTTTTTGTATTCAATTTTATGCAGGATGAGGTAAAGTATCTATAAATATTTAATTAGCGGTAATTAGTTTTTCTAAAAATTTTACACGAAGCCCTTAGCCCCCTGATGTCCATTTTACGAACTGCAGTTTCATTTTCATTTTCCAAACAACTCTTACGGTGAGAAATATATTTTTTTTACAATCCCTAAAATAGCCATTAAAGAAAGTTTCAATAAATAAAATATGGAATTGTCTTGTTAAATGAAATTTAGACTAACATAGCAAAATTAGTGCAGTTTGATTATTTTTAGTTTGGAAGCATTGATTTGTAATATCAAAATTGCCATAGCTGAGATATTAACTATTAAAAGAAGAGCACCGTATTTGGTACTTCTTGATATTTTATGGACAGGAGGATACATATTTACATCAGGTAATTTATACAAGGTGTTTAGTGTCCATGGACCATAGATTATTTGGCTCAAAATAGGTAGATTAAGCCTATATTTTATCTACAGGGTAGGGCAACATTTAAATTCCTTCATTCCAAAAGGGCGCATTACCGGATGTTGTAATTTTGTGGTCATACAGGGCCGTATGCAGAAACGTTGATTTATTTATATTCTGGTATAAGTAAATTTGCATTAAAAGGTCTGAAAAACAAAACATCGAGAGGGAAAAATGACATTTAAAATTTGTGACAAGAATATAAAAAATTAAGAAACCAACTCTAAAGGATAACATATGTTAGTTAATGCTTGATATACATAAACCATGGCTTCAGAATAAACTTTTTTAGGAGGGAGCTACACTCAAAAATTGCATGTTTAGAAAAATTGTGCTAAAATGGGTGGGAGGTGGAGTCTCTAAGCTTTTTGTAGCATGCATATAGTTTACCCTTGCCTGCCCCCCTGAACAAAATCCTGGCTACGCCCTTGCTGGAAATGGGGCAAGAATCCCTGCTTTTCTAAAAGGTTAAATTAAACCCAATGAAAAAAAATATGCATGCCTTATACACTTAATAATTTATATTGAAAAATATAGCTACACAAATTTTAAAAACTGTTATTTTAATAAAGCAAATTATAAAATTTAACTGTTTCAGTTCTAGTCCCGATTTTTTTACCCTGTGTATTTAAAAATAAAAATATTGTTTCAGAGCATATTTTTAATTATTTGTCAAATAAATATTACAAATGATAAAAACAATTTGAACCAAAAATATAAAAAATAGTTTCATACACTGTGCCTGGTTTGGCTTTCGAGCAAATAATATTATAATATGTATATTCAATTTGAAATACCCATGTCGTTACCCTTTTGTCCCTCCATTTCATTTTCTTTTATGTTTAATAGTACCTACCTATATTTCTTGGCCCAAAAGAGTGTAAATTTCCTCAGAAAAAAAGTCTCCTCTACCTTGCTAAGCCCTTTACCCAAAACCTACTGTTTCTATTTGAAGAGCAAGCACATAATTTAAAAATTTAAAAGAAAAAATAAGTTGAATAACATGATCTAAAATTTAAAATTCTTCAAAAGACAAATATTTTTTAAATACAATTTTGGTTTTATTTTATAATCCTTATTATTTATTAAATAGTAATTTTTTTAATTATCTAGGTATTAAATAGTTTTTTTTTAATTATCTAGGTATCCAGTAAATATTTATGGAAGGTATGTTTTTAATAATAAAAAAATGAATCCATTAATATTTTCACCCAAGTTCAATCTTAGGGGTAATTATTTTACAATGAAACCAAAGAAAGTTATAAATCAATTGATTTCAAGCATTCAGCTTTTCAAACAGACAAGAAAACAGCAAAGATATTTGATATAATTAACATGGAAGTAATTTTATCTTTAAAAATTTTATTTTTTAATTATATATTTGTTATAGGTATGTTTAACTTCTGAATTTATTTTTTCATATATATTTACAAACAAAAATACTGTCCATTTTTATCCATATTTTAAATCAGTCGTTAACGAATGATATAAATTATATCAACCGATTTACATTTTAGATGACCAAAAAACAAATCTAGTAAACCATGACTTATAGTATTAGCGAAATTATTTTCTATGGTTAAAAGCAAATGTCACAAATGTCAAATAAATCTTTATAACATTTTAATTGTTTTATGTCTAATTTAAAATGTCAATGTATAGAAATCGACTTTTTTATGGAAAATATAAACGTTGAAAGATAATTACCCAATTAATTTTATAAAACAACAGTTTTTAAAAATTACTACGTTGCCATGTCGTGCAAAAACCTATATCCACTGATATGCTAAATCAGTTGATATAAATAAATCAACGTTTCTGCAAACGGCCCACAGTGTCCACATGTCAAATTAATCTGGAACGTTCTACGATTGCAAACATTTAATCATAATAATTCTTCAATTGATTGGACATTACTCGTTTTGGTGAGTTGATTAGGCTTCCTAGATTATCAGATTCGGTTTGGCCCCCTACCAGATTTAACTACCCCTTATTTTTCCTTTACCAAACCAATCACAGTTAACACAAGTGATAACAAGACGTGATGGAAAATGTGCTTTAAAGAGCTAGAGCCTGTGTGGCCTTAAGAGAGGGACATTTAGTTTATTTCATATTTATAAGTCAAAAATATTTAATAATAAAATATGTATATATCGCCCATTAGACCCAAAATGGGATTTAAAGATAACTACGTAAAAACACAATGTTTCAAACAACGTTAGAACAAAATTATATCCAAAAGGAATAGGGCCATTTGTACTCTTCCATAAAATTTAAATGTTTTTATTAACAACGATTATTTCCCTCATTATAATATGAACCAATCAAAAGCCTTGAATTTTCGAATAAATTTCGTTTAAATAAGCGATTAAATCACTAGAACTATTTAACAGCGATTAAATTTTAGCCTCCATATTGGATTTGTTTACGATTTTATGGTGTTATTTACAAGTTTTAACAAACATTTTTTAAAAAACAATAAAAAATAAGTTATCTTGTTTACATCCCATAATTTTAGAACCTGCCAGCGTTTTTCTTATTATATAAATTGATCAATACAAGATATAATAAGAAAAACGCTGGCAGGTTCTAAAATTATTAATATTCACATGTAAAAATTATAAAACCATTTTATTTGTATTTTTAGTGTGTTCAATATTTATGGTGACAACTCAAGAAGTCGATAAAGAGGGAATAAATGTTAAATTTGGCATTTGGAGACTTCTATTTGCTTTAACAGGCGGATTTTCGCTGTTTTTGGCATGTTTTGCGGCATTAATGGAGGAGAGTCCCCGATATTTATTATCAAACAAGAGATATTACATAGCTTTACTCCTAATTAGGCAGTACTTTACCATTAATAAATCGCTTTACAATGAAAAATTGGTGGTAAAAAGCCAAGTTTTAAAATATTGATTGATTTTACTTATAAATAAATTTAGATTAAAGAATCAGACATGACTAATTTGATAGATGATTATGGACTTATATCCACACCGGAACCTATAGGATGTATAGATACTACGCGAAAACTGATTATAAGATCATTAAAATCATTCCTAATATTATTTAAGAAAAAATTTATATTTTTGACTGTTACCTTAACACTACTAAATATAACATTATTTTTCGGGTAAGAATACTAAATTTAATACAAATAAAATAAGAATAATTTTGTTTGTTTTCAGCTTATTTAATGTGCACGTATTCTTAACAAATTTTATTACCAAAGGTGGTACAAACGAGTCGTTTAAAGGATTTATGGATTTGCATTTTATAAAAGCGACAAATCAAACTTGTGTTTTTAGAGTTGACTATCAAGTATATACCAATTTTTTAATTTTATCTGGGGCTATAATGCTAGGAAAAGTTTTGTTATTTGCAATTATTATGAAAACCAGGAGTAAAATATTAATGTGTAAGGGTTTATGATTTTAAAAAGTCACTAAATTATAGAATATACTATATTTATATATTTTATTTTAGGTTTTTCCTCTATTTTATGTTGTTTAAGTTTTTTAATAATATCTGAAATAAATGATTCAGTTTCCAAAATAATATTATCAGGTATTATCATTTGTCTGTATGGAACTATGGAATCTTCGTTATATATAAAATCAATCGAAATGTATCCGACTGTAATAAGGTAATTACCTTTACACTTTACGAATAAAAAGAACCCTTAAAATATTGATGTTTTTAGAAGTACCGGAATAGGCGTGACAAGATGTATTGGCTTAGCCTTCTTTTTAATATTCCTTTATGAAAAAACCTTGCCTGTAAACATTATTCTTTGGCTAAACGCAGGTCTATTTGCAGGTATGTTAAGATATTATTTAAAAAAGTCAATATAAAATGTTATTGATGAGATTTTTAATTTTACATTATAAACTAGACAATTTAGACATATCGATCAAATCCCGGAACCAACTAATACAAACAAATTTAACTTTTTTTGTCAAAACAGTCTTCTTCAAGAGTGAGTATGAGAAATTCTCATTGAGAATGGTATAGCTAGCCCCATCAGCATCATCATTAGGGTTGGGAAAATTTTACTTTTTGCTTGTACTTGAAATTTCACTTGAAATTTCCTTAATTTCTGAAATTTCATGAAATTTATGAAATTTATTGAAACTTTCAATAAATTTCAATCACTTTAAGTGTAATATATTAATATTGAAATAAGCCCACTCGGACCATGGCAAATTGCCTCTCTTACCTCCTACTCCTAAGCTAATGAGATTGTGCCACTTTCATTGTTTTATATTTATATAAATTTATGATTTTTAAATATTTTATTGAATATTACGAAAATTGAAGAAACTTCATCAACATTTTATGAGCCAAAGGCATTTTTTATCCGTTTTCCGATGCAATTATAGCAAAAGTAAAAGTTTAAATTAATCATGACTTTTAAAAAAAATGTTAAAGTCTGATTTAATTTACCAATTTAGGTAACTGAATTAAATTATTTAAATTAATTTATGCATATATATATATAAGTAACAATAATTACTTCAAATCCAAGCCGAACTAAACAAAAACGCCCAGGCGCTTGATAACTCGTTCTTATTGGTCGATTCGGAATCTGTTGTAAATTATTATTAAAGGTCCCAGGGGAGGCCGCATGTGAAATTTATGCGAAATTTTCAGTAAATTGCGAAACTTTCAAATAAATTTCTGAAACTTTCACAGGCAATGTTGAAATTTTCGGATTGAAAATTTTTCACTTTTCCAACTAAATGAAATATTTCAAGTTTGAAACTTTTTTCATTTGATTTCAACTGTCCCAACCCTAATCATCATACACTGATCTTCCAGATTTATTTTTACCCCCTTTTGGTTCTCCTATACGTATCCCGCAACTGCACAGCATTAACTGTGTTTGATGGATACGAAGTTTTACCCCGGCTGGTAAATCTTTCTTGGAAGATTGTGGAATACAGTGTCGATGGTTAAGACCGATGGTTAAGCACGGGCCGGGCTATACGCCCGATTAGGCTAGTGCAGTTTGTTTTCGGAGGACGATAGACTGACCCAAAACAAAGTACAATCCAGAATCCTCCTCGACCAGAGATTTAGTAACAACACTCACATTCAATTGGGGTTCATGAATGGGGCTTGGTTGATTAATACGCTGTTGAAGCTTAATCATGTTTCTTGAGGTACTTTTTATTTGTCTGCTTTCGTGTCTGTGCTGAATATTTGTTGAAAATTCGGAAACCGCAATCCAGTTTGCCCCACTGTGCGAAAACCGTTATTTGTCTTCATTACCAAGATGTACCACGTCGGGTTGTTCCTTATGCAGCTCTGATTTCGTGGAAAATTCAACTGCTCCAAGTACTGACTTCAACGAAGATTTAGCCATATTTCCAGTCCTTATTTCCTTGCTGAATATGGAAAACCGATGCACACAGTTAATTTTACCCCACTTTGCATTAGGTGCTTAATTTACAGCCCTTTTAAAAAAGCTTTGTAGACCACAAGTGTTTATTTTATCTGGATTTAAACGACGCACACTGGAGTATGAATGCCTATCGAAGGGACAAAAAGGAAAAAACATACATTGTTAATTATGTTAGAAATCTAATGCAAAAATAAACTAAAGACATTGCTTAAACTAGCGCAAGCAAAACTAGTAGGCTCTCACTTAAAACGGGCGGTGACAGCATGTCAAAGATATCAGTGTTGATTGAACGCTTTGCTGTCATAGTTATTCTAAATTTATTTTCAAAATTTCACAGCCATTTCAGGAAAAGCGAAGAGTGAACTTTTCCTGTTTTTGGGCAAAAATATATTTAGGTAAGCCATTAGATTCTTACCGTAATGGCACATACTAATTTAATATGTCTATTGATTTTATATAGAGCGTTTTTTGTCAGTATCGCAAATTAGAAGTTTTCTTTTAATTTTTGCTTATTTTGGCAGAGGTTATAGTTGTGTTCCGGGCGTTTCCGAAATGAATAGTTCATCACAGAATAATGTTTAATCATCGTTTATTATGAAACCGTAAAAAAAAATTGCTAATATTTGCTATTCCGTAAATCCCTGAATATAATGTTAAATGCAGTTAACACGTCATTTTTGCACAATACCAATGTATTAAATTATTTTGGTCAGCATAATTCAAAAAGTATTGATTCAATTTTGATGAAATTTGGCAGGCGACTTACGTACAACAACAGAAAGACTTGATTAGTTTTTTTAAAAACCCCAACATGGCAGATCAAAATGGCGGCCACTTTAATTTTTGATTGGCTATAATTCATGAACTGTTATCCCGATGTCAATAAAAATCTATTAGGTAGGTTTGTAAACTTAAAGAAATATTTTTCACAAATTCAAAAAATTCAATATGGCGGAACAAAATGTCTGTTTTGATAACCCAAAGAGTAATATCGATTAACTAATAATCTTAGCTTTATCAACTCTGTCAAAATAAAACAATGGATTTAAAAAAAAAATTGATTTCTGTATTTTTTCCCGCAATTATTTATTTAATTTTCACCGTTTTAGTAAATAAAATATGCAATTCAGTATTGTCAAGTGTGCAAAATTTCAACATTATTATAAAATAATACTGCAAAAAAAGGTTTAACTACCTACTTGGTATGTTTTGTTATTTTTCTTGAAGCTATACTGGATAAGTAGTAAAAATTTTTATGGACCTGAAAAAATGAAACACCCTGTATATATTTCCATAATTTTAAGTTAATAATTATTGTCAACATATTTCCAGGATATTAAAGCCGATTAATAGTCGGAATTCCGACTTAAAGCTCTCAACCTATTTTGAAAATGAAACGCCCTGTATATATTCCATAATTTTAAGGTAATATCTATTGTCAACATATTTCCAGGATATTAAAGCCTATTCCGACTTAAAACTCTCAACCTATTTTGAAAATAAATTTTGTCCCTTCATGGTGTCCAAATACCCCAGTGTGCGACGCACAGTGTTTCAATTCTCGAAATTTTCGGCAAAATATATATAAGAGTAGTCGGATTCTCCCAAAAATCCGTATATAGAGATTTTTGGGGTCGCTGATAACGAATCTGGAATCAGAATTCCAAAATTCAAAATGGTAGATCCAAAATGGCGGACATATTTGTCAAAAAATTTACGGAATAAATTGAAAATCACCATACAGGGGTTTTTGGGGACGCTGATAACGAATCACAATTCCAAAATTCAAAATGGTAGATCCAAAATGGCGGACATATTTGTCAAAAAATTGACGGAATAAATTGAAAATCACCATACAGGGGTTTTTGTGGTAGCTGATGATGAATCTGGAATCATAATTCCAAAATTCAAAATGGTGGACCTCAAATGACGGTCATTTTTATAAAAAAAATTGTCAAAATTAAAGTATTTTAAATTTTTATTATTTCTTTTACTTAATATTTTAGCAACGATTTCTTAATTCGCTAAAAAAATTGTCAACACAAATAAACACATTTCAAATTTGACATTAACACACTACAATGCGCATGCGGAGTTGTTTTAACGCACCTACAAGAGGTAGGTTAAATATGTAAAATCGGTGTTAAATAGCTGTTGTAATAAACGCTTTGAGTTAAATCCGAGTGAATCGAATACACGTTATGAACGCAAACCAGAAATAAAAGAAAAATCTTATATTTTGTAAACCAAAAAGGCTTAAAATCGCGAGGTTTTTTACCACAACCGTGCCAGAGCGCCCAAGAACATGTAGTTTTAAAGAGCCGGGGGCGAGTTGGGGCAGATAATTTATTGATGGCTTGATAGACAAAACTCTAAGCTATTCAACGGATTTTGAACTGATACCTTACAATTCATTACAATTTTTGTAGCTCCATTGTTCTAAAAGCTCGATTCAAAGTTTGCGATTTTAACAGACCGATCTTGTAGGTTACAATAACCCTTTGTACAAGTAAAATCTACGAAAAAAAATACATATCTGAATTTTACATACCTTGAAGATGACCCTTTATCAAACCGCATAACAATCGGACACACCAAACACAAGTTATTCACTTTTAAACAATAAACAAATTTCCGCAGCGATCGCGTGTAAAGTACCTTCAACTGAAAGCGTCAAGTTTAAACTGATGTACAAAATCAAAATATACATATTGTATATAATTTTTTTCAATTCAGGATGGAGACAGGTATTAACTACCCAACTAACTCAAAATTTACCTAAAATGTTTTTCAATTTTTGAGGTTTTGCCGATATTTTCGAGAATTGAAACACTGTGCGACGCGACTTTTAATCCCAAACAAAATCAACAATGAAGTGCTTAAGTGAATTTTGTTTGTTTGATTTTAACTTTGTATTTTGCAATTGCAATTAGGTCATGCGATTAATTATTGAACTAATCAGTTTCTATAGGAGTTCCTTAGTCCCTAGTTGCACTTTTGCTTTCTTTGCTTTCCTCGGTTATCTTCGGTATTCTTATTGCTGACATTCATGTCACATATCCGCATATCCGAATCCGTAATAATTTCGCACTATGGTTACTTCGCTTTTGGTTTGAACTTTGGGTCTTTGGTTATTCTTTATTTTTAGTTTAAGTGGTTATGCCCTAAATTTTATGAATTTTATAATTCTACTCTGTGTGAGGATACGAGCGATACATACTTTAAATTTCTTGCGATAGTTGAATAACATATTCTTCATATAGGTATTTTTGTTTACTCCATGTTGAGTGCCATAAGGTTCCTCTTTAGGAGTAAATTGGTTTTATCCATTTACAAGTAGACACGTGGATATAAGCTTCAAATATAATTTTATATAAAATCCTCTTTTCCTTTATAAAAAGACAAATCGAGGAATATTATCGAGAAATACAGGAATATTTTGATTCCGGAAATCCAAACTTGCTTTTTCTGGACCGTAAAGTCAGATATATTTCACACTGTTTCATAATTTGTCCAGTTTGGCCAACTATCGACTTGTGAAACGGTTCATTGTCTAGACAAAAGAAAACTTTTTTCTTCTTCATATCCAAATTTGTTCGTCATGCTAAAAATTTTGCGCAAGATACTGTGTAGGTAGGTACGTTAAAACTTCCTAAAACTATTTGCAAAAATGTTTTCTAAAGCGGTGGCTGTTTTGGACATTCCGAACATTTAGCATCATTGGTGTCTTACGCGTACGGGCACCAATGATATATGTATATATACATACGGCCCCGTCTAAATTCAGACAACCACCGACAAATGTTTTTTAACGGATTAGATGCAAGCAATTACTAAGCTTGAAAGGTATTTTATCCATTAAAATAGTAATAATAATAATGATATTAAAACACTTGACACTTGCCTATTGCCTATTGACTCTTGCCATTTATTAAAACGCCGCGGCGCGCCGGTTTGGCGTTTAAGACAATGTCAACATAAGGAAACAGTGAATATGTAGATACTGCTAGAACTTTCAATTAAACTGGAAAATTGAATTATTTCTTTGTCGAAGTTCTCATCCAAATTATCTATGTTAACTGAAACAAGCTTCTCTGCTGCCAATTCATTAATTTTAATTTACAAAGTTCTCCTCTCAAAGTCTCAAGTCTATGTCCTAAACAGAAGTCGATTTTATCAACTATATATGGTAAAAAGCTCTTAATTTTTAAAGCCAATTAACACGACCTTAAGTTTTTCTTTCGTATTTTTTAATACTGGCTCTCAAAATGTTTCATTAATTTGTTTGGGCTTTAAACAAATAAAGTCTTTAAAGGTTCCTCGAAGGCATAATACATTATTTAAATGTCCTTAAAAGTTGCGTAGCCATTGATAATTATATGGATGTACACTGGGAAGAATTGCTTAAAGCATTAAATGCTAATTAAATTTTAATCATGGCGTGGTTATCATAAAAGCCGTATTTAGAGATTATTTTTCTTGAGTTACTTTGTACCACTACAACTTTTAAAGCTTATAAGACTGGAGCATATCTGTTTCCATATAAAGTAAAGGATCCTACATAGAAACTGTTTCGTTTGATGATCTTTGGATAATAAATATTACTTATGTATTCACTCATTAAAAGTACCTACATAATAATTTGTAAATACATTTTTGCCTGGGTGCCATTGGGAACTTGTCAGATGTGAGGGCCTGGTGCACGTGCACCACTGCACTACGTTGAATCCGACATTGACATTCATAATTCCCTGTCAAAAAGGATAAGATTATATTAAACAGGCCACTGTGATCTATTTGAGAACCACGCGTCTAAATATATCTGGTGTATCTCTGAGTTTGCAAAATATCAGGATAAAAAACTTGGAAAACATGTTTTCTTATGTTTCAAAAGAAATAAATTCGGTATAATTATAGTGTATAATTTAATTAGTAAATATAAATTATAATAATTTTATTAGTAATTAATAGTAAATATAACTAATTACACACTTTTTCCTTTATTTTAGGTGCTGCCATATTATCACTTTTGTTGGAAGATCTCACTAAAAAGCCTATGATAGAATAATAACAATTATTGTTGAATAATTAATAAATAAAACAGCTTTTAAAGTATCTTTGGTATTATCAAATATAAATTTTATAAAAAATTATAATTTATTAACCATCTTGTAACATTAAAAAGATTTTTGGAACACAAACAAAAATTATTATGCAAACAAAAAAATCATGTGCAACATCGGACACGTGGTTTAGAAATAAAACTTCTTATAATAGTTATTAAGTACTGATTAATTTCATCTGAAATAAATTTATATCCTTGGCATAAAAATAGAAGCGAATTTGATTTCGGCACGCGCCTAAAGAGCGGCATGCTTTAAGCGCGCCACGCCTTTATCTTTTGTCGGCTTTACAAATAAGCCGCATTATTATAAAATAATAAAAATAGTACTCATAATTTTTTATTTGATGTAGTTTTGGTAGAAATAAACCATTTGGTAACAATTTTTATTTTTTTAAGTAATTTTGCGCTAGAATATCGTTTATTTCACGAAAATGTACATTTTCCAATAAACGCGACTTATAAAAAACCGTATCTCGCTATAGCGAGTGCGGTTTTAACGGTTTAATTTTTAATAAAATTTGCAATTTTTTGTGTTGTCGAAATGGTGTACAAAATACACCGGCGCGTGTAGTTTTCACCAAATTATTTGCCATCAAGAAATCATTTTTTTAAGTGATATACTTTTTGTCGCTGAAATTACGTTTTCCGCCTCGAAATGGGAACAACTGTTTTAAACCTTTAGATAACATTTGTTATTGTTCTAATTGACGGAATAGAACTATCCGGATATTTAACTGAGAATGGGTCTCTTGTTTGACGTAGAGAATTGCCCACTAAAGACAAGCTTATCATGTCAATTTTCTCTTGCAATGTGTAGGACTTATAATTTTAAAACGCTCGAAATACTAGCAAATGCATAACAAAACTGAATCCTCGCCCACGCTGGCAATCTGCTTACAATGCATCTGGGGAGGGGCGATCGGATTCACTTGGGTTCACTCGTATAGCTCTCTTTCTCCTTTTCTCTACGTTATATATATTACGATATATCTTTTTTCTCTCTCGTGTAACGAAATCTCGAAACGTTACATTTTTTCCAATTTACTCTCCATTCTCGTCCAATATCAGAACGCCACCAAAGAGGTTTCACTTTAAAAACTTAATTTATTTCATTGTCGTTTACTTTTTGACACGTCTTGATCATCTTCACTTTTCTTGCTTAGAGGCACTTCAACTGCAAAGAGTTTACCGAATAACCGATAACTCTTTAACCGATTTTATATAGCAAGGAAGCCGTTCTGAAACGTTTTAAAGGTGACAATACATTCCTTATAAAAAATCTGATAAATTAGCAACAAAAGTGAATTTTGATTATATTGTAGATTATAGACTGTAGCAAATAATGGCCTCATATCTTATAAATCTATATCAGTGATAAAATAATGTTGGCCAACTTTTTAAGTCAAATCCACTTTGTGCGTCGCTGAACCTACCAAAAAGTTTAACAAACTTTTTTAATACAAATCGCTTGTCACTGTTCGTCAAATAATCGTATTTGTTTGCATATGACATTATGCTTACTACAATTTACGTTTATTATGTGCTTTCATGTATAGGTTGATGAATAAATTTTATTTATATCTACCATGCTAAAAATTCAAAAGTAATATTTATAAAAAACACATACAGTTAACGGTTGTGAAAAAGTAAATGTCAACATTATTTTTTGGTTAGGATATTTGTTGACGTATGTCGCCGCTAAAAATAGTTGATTGCGATTTGTTACAGCTGCAGCGATTTTGAAGTGGCGATTTCATTATTTCAGTATGACACGTGACCTGATTTTTAATTAAAATCCCATGATATTCCTACTTATTTCGGTTTTAAAGTTAAATTTTAAAAGATTGTTTTTTAGAACAAAGTTGTTAACAAAGTATATCTACATATATTTTTTTGATTTTATCTTAGCCTAAGACTTAGAAGTCATGCACGTAATAGGTTATGCTTTTTTTTTGTAAAATTAAACCCTCATGTCACACAAAGTCACACACATTATATTCTATCCCTCCCCTTTAACTTTACAACACACTTACAAATTATTTTTGATTCCAAGCTTAATTCAGTAAATCTAATGTCATTACAAATAATTACAATTAATATTAATAATTATTTTATGATTACCTATTTTAAATAAATGCCGAAAAAAGTGTGCCGTAAAGCAGAGTAGTAACTAAACTACTCGTCATAAAAACCGACGCACCTAGTTTTTTGGAAAATATTTGAAACTTCGTTATTGGAAAATTACTGAATCGATTTTAAAAATCTTTGGAAATTCTGAATAGCTGGCTATATAATCGTAGTTAGCCAAGAGATTCAGTAATTTTCCAATAACAATCTTTCAAATATTTTCCAAAAAACTAGGTGCGTCGATTTTTATGACTAGCAGTTTATTTTTAAATTAAAAAATTTGTGAGTAGGAAAATACCTACGTAAATTCTTTTATCTACGCCAGTGAGATAAGAACTTCTTATCCCACTCATTTTGAGTGAGATAAGAAGTTCATTAACGCACGCGTTTTTCTCTGCTTTTAACCAATCAAATAAAAAAGTCAAAATGTCAAATTAACACTAAATTAAGTCTTAGACAAAAATAATTACAGTTTATTTTTTCATTTAGAGGCGTAGATAAAAATTTGTACAATATACGTGTGATAACGCTTTATTAACGTACTTTTGCGATTGCCCAACTCGTGCTACGCACTCATTGGGCAAATTTTGCATGCGTACGTTAATAAAGCTCTTATCCCACTTATATCGTAAATAACTATTAACCAACCAATAATTATTTTTTAAATTAAATAAAATTACACAAATAAATATCCTAAGAACAGTGGCAGCGATTGTATAAATTGTACAGAAAAATTAATAAAAACATGTAAAAAATAAATACCCTTGACTACAATCCACTCAACAAGTTCTGTTCTATCTCGTTTCGCGCATACTAAAAATCACTGCAACACTGCACAGAATCTAACGGCGGCCATTTTTATGTTGTTTACAATTCTTGTGCTTTGGGTTTGTGCTGTTTATATAGATTAAAATGAAGTATAGAGCTCCTCAAACGTTAAATGAGTGAAAGTGAAATTTTGTTAAGCGTACTCCTGACTCCCATAATCCTTCCTTATAGGAATAAATTTTACCATTTTTAACATTATTGCTATAGATAATAGAAGGTTTATTTTTACCCAAAACCAATCTACGTAAAGCAAAATTGCAACATTGACAACTTTGTAAGTATAGTTTAATATTCTAGTTATACGGTCTTAGTCGAGAAGCAAATAAGTAACAAATATAACATTTAAGTACAGTCCGTTCAGGCTAAGTTGAGCGCTTTGATGGGGGATCATGTGACCGTTGATTAAATTAAATATCGAATCATCGTTAGATTTCGGTAACAAGAAGATGATTTATCAGTGCCGGAGCTTGCGGTTTGTTCGTACAGAGCGGCTACCGAAATACATGTATTTAGTTTTGCCTAAACATAGAGATGATGGACGGGGTGACATTCCTTAGACCGCTCAACTTAGCCTGAACGGACAGTACAGTGCTCTATAGAGCGTTCTTTAAAAATTAGTTTTATATTATATCTGTTTAAACGAATTTATTATTTTTATATAGTTTTGATAAACGAGCGAATAATAAATAAATTTTTAAAATTATAATTAGTTTCATTTTGCGTAAATAATCATGCCAATCATTGTTACCAATAAATTATTTTTTCAATTGTATAAATCCCCATAAATTATTTATTAGCGATGATTCATTAAGAAAGAATGGTTATTGAATACCAAGGTGTCATTTTTTATAACAAAATCCAATAAGTTATTTGGCAAATGTATAATTAATTGTTGTTTACTGTAAAAATAAAACGATTTTGTTGTGAAAGATGAAAAATTTAAAATTTAATATAAACATTGGAGCCACTAAAAACTAAAAATAAAGTAAAATCGTTATGAAATCAATGGAAAAATAATCTTGGTGAAAATGTTATTAAGGTTAACATCATCGCATAATATTAAAATTAATATTTAATATTTAATACGGATATAAAGGAAAATAAACAATCGTTCTATTTAAAACACATGGCCTCTTATAAAATTCAGTGTATAAAATTTTAAAATTGAATTATTTTTATATGAGGTGATTTACATAGGCAAAATGCAGAAAATTTCCTAAGGAATGCATTGATCACATAAAAAACTCTGTGTATCTCACCTTTATAAGCTCATTAATGAAGTGAAACTTTTGAAAGATATAATGGGAAACGAGTTTTAGAATAATGATTAAAGTTGTGTTATTATATGAGTATCGTCAGCTTAATACTATAACTAACTAAATTAAATAAACCCATTTTCAAATTTGTGTATTAAAATTAGTACAAATTGACCTGGCTGAAAGACATACATATATATATATATATATATATATACAGGGTGGCCGATTTATCTGAAGACATTGAAATATTTCGAAAACTATGCATCGGATCAAAAAAAGTTTTGAATAAAATTTGTTCGCCTGGAAGGGGGACATCCAATGATACCAAAGTCGACCCCTCACCACCACCCCATGGGGTGGGGGTGGGGGCAACTTTAATATTCTAAATAGGAACCCCCATTTTTTATTGCAGATTCGGATTTACTATTAAAAAATAAGTAACTTTTATGGAAAAACTTTTTTTTAAATTCCTGATAGATGGCGCTGTAATCGCGATTTTTGGGAATATCTTGAAAAATTGCAGATTCGGATTTCCCATTAAAAAATATAATTAGTGTATACGAGAATTGTAAGGGAATTCAAAATAAATTAAATTAATTAATTCCTTTTGATGTTCCCATGGCCATGGGGTGGGGGTGGGGGCAACTTTAATATTCTAAATAGGAACCCCCATTTTTTATTGCAGATTCGGATTTACTATTAAAAAATAAGTAACTTTTATGGAAAAACTTTTTTTTAAATTCCTGATAGAT